GGCTGGGAGTCAACCGTGACTTCTGGCTCGCGCAGGCCGAGATGCGTTCCCGAATGGGATGCAGGATCCGTCACCCAAGTGCCCTTTGGTTTGCCGCTCTTTCGACATAGAAGGCACATTAGAAATCTGGATCCGTCTTCCTGAGCTTCCACGAAAGCGCTTTCTATGAGATCGTGCCCGGCGGCGACTCTGCTAAGCCTTTACGAAGCACACTGCAGCTGAAGCTGCTTGTAACGACACTGAGATATAAACGAAAGCTGTGTAGGATGGCAAGTGGCATGAGGAACATAGGCCAAGTATGGCAGCTCAGGTGGCTTGTAGCCTCAAGCTTGTCCCAACATACTCTCGGGTCACACTCCTTTAGTGGCACAGAGAAGCCTTTCTCGCTTAGCAAGCTGCAACAGCGACTACCAACCTCCGCACTCCATCCTCAGGATAGCTGAGACTGTGGCCACATGATTCCAGCTCTTGGGCCTGCGCTCAGCCGAGAAACAAGTCTGCTGCGCAATTTGGGCTGCACCAAGTGACGGCAGAGGCGACAGCCAAGTTCGGGATCTCAGCCCTCCAAATGTCCAGTTTCCAACCCATGCCATGCTGACGCCTCTTGCCAGCGAGCCAACCTGCATGAAGCACGCTATCCCAAGCTCCATGTCGGATTAAATCAAGTACAAGTAACTACCCTCCGACTACGACAGTATCCTTCTACGTGCTAGCAAATGAACAAGAAAGCTTTCCATGGAACTGGCTGTGGTCGAGCTGATAACGTGTGCGACTTATTAGCAAGAATATGCCCGGTCCCCAGCCTGGTCTTGTGAAGCTCTGTAGTTACATGCCTGCACAGGTCCCATGTGCAGCCACCGTCTCTCGCGGATAACACAAAAAATCTTTGTAGTCGGCACGATTGGAAACACCTGTCCTGTGATGCCATGCTCAGGTACCGCAAATGAGCCAAATATCCCGCAGTGCATGGAAAATCACCAACCTGCCAGACAACACCTCCGGGCCCAACTTTGCATTGATTCATCAGCCGGAACTCACCATAACTCGCCGTCAAGGCACTGCTCATCGATCATCTTGTTGCATGGCTGGCACCGCCAGCAACCATCGATGAAGACTTGCCAGTCCGGATGGCGTCTTTGCGTCTTGTCCTGAAGCAAGAAACCAGTGGGCTACACATGATGCATCATGATTCCTCCCGGGCTCATTGTACAGGCAATCACGTCACACTCCTGATATTCAACTCAACACATACCCGCCCAAACAAGATTATCAAGATCACAACATAAAATCATGGGTCTGAGCTTACCCGAAAAAATGGCACATGCATCCGGTAGGATGGTATCGGGCAAGTAGTGCTGCCGTTGCCTGGATTGATGCCACTCGCCAGAACTCGGTCGGGACTGGTGCCGTGATCGACTCCTGTAACTCCTGTCTGCGGACCACACGTATGGAGTTCGCGCCGGAGGAGGGGAGGGCAGAACAAACGAGCTGGTTGGATGGCAGCAACAACAACGACGACAGAATAATGCTGTCTTGCTTTTGATAATCCGTAGTTCAGGATTCTAGAACAAGAGATTGACCTGCAGTCTGACGTGCTGCTTCTGCTTCGCGGGCCTTGCCCGCCTTAGAGTCTTGCTGGTTGTCGCCCGTGGCTGCATGCCTTCCGTTCTCCTCGTTCTCGTGCCGGCATGTTGCATGCAGACTTTGCGCTCGCACTTTAGGCCCAGTTCACTTTTCCTTGGGGAGAGCTACGAGTATGTCCATGGACTTCGTCCATGTTGCGGACGTCCATGTTGCACAGGCAGTGCAATGATGCCTGCGAACGGCTTGAGTACACCTCCGATCCTGCAGCTGCATGACATGCTCAATTTGTGTGTCCACTGTTCTGCTCACTTGCCTTGCCACAACTGGGACACCTTCCCGATCTTCCCCGTGTGCGGATGCAGGATACAAGGGTAATCGTGCAAGGACAAACTCCCTCTCTCCGTCCGTCACGACACGTTAGGGCAGGTTTGCAGACATGCATGTATATGAATGTCGAAGTACTCACTCAGCGCATAGTTCCTGATGCGCTGGTATCCCGCTCCTCCGGCAATGTCTCGCCGCTGTAGGTCCGGAGCTTGTTGGCACCTTTCCCGGGCGCTGGCACCTCCGAACATGCTATGACGAGAATAGACACGACCTTCCAGAGAGAAACAGAAAACATTCATTCCATGATCGCAACGAGACCAAGCTATGCGGACCTCAGCCGGCTGCTCTCCGATCGAAGGACGCAGCTTGTTAGCACCTTTCCTTGGCCATTCTGATTCTCTCAATGTGGAGATGCTGAAAGTGGCCACTTGAACTCTAGGTTCTTTACGGGGCAGAGCATCTTCACTCTCTTAGAGACAGGCTCGTCTTATCTTATTTCACAGGTTCCGGCCCAGAAGGTCCACAATTGCGGCCACAGCGTCGGTCGTCCAACAGCCTCACCAGCCTCGCCGTGTCAGAACTCCGCACGTTTACGGGGAAACAGTTGGAATTGAGAGCAGACCTCAAGTTCTCGGGGTTGGGCGCAGGTCTCCGCGTTCGGAAGCAGGAAGTCCTTTGCAGCGCGGGGAAGGGGTACTCTGCAATCTCCAACGTGGCATGGCTCACGGCGCGGTCCTCTTTCCGATCACCATCGTCAGGTGTCTCGGATGTTTCGGACGTGCTCCTGGAAAGAACAGCCATCCTGAAGAACGTACTGCACTACAAACGGGGAACATCGGGGAATGTGTGTGGCCGCTGGTGCCGCAGGCTCTTCCGGCACCCACAACTCTGCACAGCCGAAGTTGTCATGCGCGATGCATCGCTGGCGTCCACTATGCATGGAATCACAATGAATACAAACAAGGCGTGCTGAAAGGACACCAGCTAAGCAATCTCAAAGCCCTGCGAAATTCCGCGCAGGCGTAGTATTCATGGCGCATGAAAGTGGCCCGTAGAGGACGAGGCTTTGCAGCATTGCTACACTGATTAACAGTACGGCAGGTCTTCATCAGGTTTGGTGCTCCTCAGCTTGTTTGCTCCCTTTTTCGACATCGCTCGCCGACACGGATGCGCCCATCGGGCACATGGCTTGCAGATCAATAACTGCTTGGCCTCTTCGGAGAGTTGTAAGAACAGGGCTGGAACTGCACGAGAAGGGATGGGTCTCTTTGCTTTCTCGAGCTCCAAAGGTGTTGTTGAAGCTGCGTTATGTCACTTCACCAGTGAAGTTTCCTCGTTGAGCCAGAAACAGCGGGCAGCAAGCCCGCACAACAGTTTCCAGGATGGCACATGACAAGCAGCAGACGTACCTGTGTCTGAAGGTTGTTCAGGGATGAAGCGCGCACGCACACACACACATGATAAGTAGGACATGACGAGGGCTGGTACGAGTCCCCCGTATCCCGTGTAGCCTGAACAGGCAGCCCCGAGGTCCCGAAACTGAGATTCCCTGGCCTCGGATTCCGAAGGAAACCTTGGCTCCTGCGCTCCAGGCAGCGGACATCAGAGCTTGTGGACTTATGTTGTCGCTGCCAAGTCGCCGCCACCAAAGGCTTATTCCGCAAAAAGACGTCGATGCACAGGGTGTCCCAGAAAAGGATTCGGGCCATCTTCTGTCCTCGAAGCAGTTGCACTTCTACCACTAGGATCGAGCGACAGCTGCATGAGGCTTCGCAGGGCTGCTTGCAGCCACGTCTCCCTCCCAGTCCCCAGTGCCAAGTGCGAATTTGCCCGGGTGATGACCTCAGCGAGGGCGCCCCAAGAACCTTCCCGGCCCATCCTGGCAGGCCACAGGCCAAGCCACTGGAGGCGAAGGCTTGCTGCAATCTGCCAACATCCTCCTGAAACGCAACATGCGCTCCAAATTGGACCTGATCACATTTCCACGTGTTCCGTCCTCGTAGCACTCTATGTCGACATCATCGTCGTGAGGGATGAAGCCACCTGGCAACTGATGACTGCAGGCTCGCAAAGAAGTGCATTCTGCGATATCTTCACAGCTGATTTTGTCACAAGCCTCCAAGATCGTTGCAGCCCTCCCTACCGTACTCACCCTTCCGAACTCATGGAAGCCCACCATGGCGCAGCGCGCCGAGCAGGGTGCCCCCGGTGATCCAGTAGGGGATGCTGGCCTGGAATGGTCTACAACTTATTGCTGGCTGCTGACATCGCTTGCTGGAAGCTCCCTCCAGGCCCAGACCTCCATGAGGACCTCATCCACGATCTGCAAGAGGCCTGCAGCGGTAGGCGGCACGGTGTTGCTTCCCAGGTACCGTCACTCTCCATCTTCGCTGCCGCGCGACCCAACAGCAGCTGGTGCTCGGAGGTTCCAGGCAAGCGCTGCATCAGTGCTGCACAAGGCTTGGAGTTCTGCACCTGTGCAAGCGAGCTTGCAATGCAGCCCGGGTTACTGCTGAGAGAGACGGGACATGGCTCAGTGAGACGGCAAAATGGGCGGTGCCTACCCAAAGCGTCAACGACTTAGCCAGTGAAGAGTCTCAAACAGGGTGTGGCAATTCAAATCAAGGGCCTCATCGCAGCAACCTTCGCAAATGACAGGATCGCAACCCATGGCTCAAGGAAGGAAGCCAACTATATGTGGCTTACTCCTGCAGTCACTTCAGCCTGCACAACGCCACCAGCGCTACCAGTAGGCACTTACAACAGGGTCGGGAAGTTTCACAATGATGGCCGGGATGTTTGCACTGCCTGACCTCCTGTGGAATCAATGCAAGCTCTTCTCCATGTGAGGGTACGTTGACATTCACATACATTCACTAGAGGACCTGGTCTAGCCAGCCTCAGACTGGCGATGAAGTGCTCATACGGATGTCTTGCTTCATCTACCTATCCTTTCTCCCCTTGGGCCGACACCCTGCATCATGCATCTGCTGGCCAATCATTGGTGCAATACGCACCGACTTGGAGTTCTGTAGAAGTTTCGGAACATCTGCCGTAGCGGACCGAAAGCGAAGGATTAGCCGAGCAGCTTCCGAAGCAATCGAAGCAGACGGATGCGTAGTACTCAAAGTCATCAAGCACCTCGCAACGTGGCATCTCTCGAAAAGAATCCGTGGCAGCCGAGGCCACAGGCCCAGGCCCAGGCGTCTTGGGGGTTACCTCCTCCACCTAATCCTACTCCCTGCAGCCCGAAAGTTTCGAGACAGCCGCTTTTTGCGTTCGTTTGCCACCCCCTTGCCCGCTGCCCTTCATTTTACGTGTTTTTTAGGCCTTCCTCCCGCTGATCCCGTCTTTTTTGCTGTTTTTGTTTCTCCTCCTCCCCCCCTTTCCCCTCCCACCCTTCCCCCCGACTGCGACATGTCTCGCTGACAAAGCAGCTCTACGCGGCGCCCCCAAGCGTGGGAGTCCTCCTCAACGAAATCTCAATATAGCAGTGACCTGAACAGATTTCCTGAGTGATACAGAAGGCTTTGCCGTTTCATCCGGCTCCTGCACCTGCGGAGCCGAGGCGGGCGGGGTAGCGTTAAAATTAAACGGGAGGGGCCCCGAATGGAAATTTTATAAGTGGTTCTACGATGTTTGACGGGGTGGTTATCTCTATTGTCAATTTGTCACTGTTGGGGAGAACTTGCTCCTGCTCTTGCTGTTGCTTGCTCCGGGTCTGTTGCTCCTTCTCTTGCTCTTGTTCCCGCTCTTGGTGCTGCTCCAGCTCTTGCTCCCTCTTGCGCCCTTGCTCCTGAACCCCCTAATCCAACCAAACGGGGCGACTAATCACAGAAGCAGCAACACACTGCATGACAACAAAACTGTGACACCCTGCGATATCCTGACAAACGCCTACGGGGTTCTCCATTTGGGCACGGAGTCCGGAAGGCTTGGGACCGTCTTTTAAGCTTTGACCAAGTAAGGCCTGGCGAGACAGCCATCCACCGTACCTTGGGAAGACAAGCTACAACATCAGGATGACATGGAGATGCAAGCACGAACCTCGTGTTCCGGCCTCGCAGCTGTCCCTCACTTGATCGACTTACACTTAGACTAGAGGACTAGCGATTGGGCATGCATCTCGACATCTCCCTCCAAATAAAACCACATTGCATCGTCAACGAATCAACAGACACTTCAGTCTCTCGTCCTTGCAACTGCGCCCATCGCTGCAAAAGAAGCTGCTTGTCTTCCAAGCATTGTGGAAGATCCCAGTGGTATAGGGTGACGACGGGGATGATCCTCAGCACTTCACTTGGCCATGCCTCATATGCTGTCAAACAGCCCCCCTTCCTCCCCGCCGGATCACCGTACAAAAACACAGCTGTTTTCAGAACTGGTGCTGCAGCAGAGGCTCCCACTGCTGCAGAGCCTTGAGCAAGTAGCGCTGAGATGTAGCTATACGCGGCTTGGCAGGAAAAGGATGCAGGCAAGTGGCTCTGACAACAGCGACTGGTAGAAATCTACAGCTCTTTGGTTCGGTTTGCCGGTGCCGGCTGGGAGCAACCTGTGCAGGTGCATTACGGCTCGAATCTAAGCAATCAGCAAGACGAAACGGCCTCGACCAGGAGATAGAGAAACGATATGCTTTCAATCCTGAGCTGAGTGGCGAATGTCGAGCTGAGGAGGCTTACGTGCTGTGACAAAACATACGCGAGCCGCTGCAGTACTGTCACGTCGGGTCGACTCGGCCAACTACCTGTCACTGCCCTGTTCCGCTAGTTCTTCAGCCAACCGAAAGGTGGAGAAGGTCTGCACAAGGTGGTGCGAGCCTTTGCAGAGTATACTTGGATAGAGGTGACCTTTCCTGTCTGATTGCCGGCCAAAGTGTCCCAGGTCTTTCATGAGTTTAACATCATCAGACCATCCTGAGCCAACGGAACACGTGGTTCTACAGTCGCCGTCTTCGTCTCATTAGTATCATCGTTGGTCGATTTGCTCTTCGAACTGCAGGTGCTTTCGCCTTCAAGCACGAGGCACGACCTAGGTCAGTCCTGTCTACTTGTGCCGCAACAGTATGCTAAAAACGTTTGCTATCAAGCTCCGAGCTGCTGTAGTAGTGTTCACAAGCATGAGCTCCTGCATTCAAGATTTTGTCTTCAGACTTGAACCACGTGCGAAGAGGTCTTGCCCCAACACATTTGTCTTCCCGGGTCTTGCAGACTTCTGGTGAAACTCCGGCTGCAGCACGCTGAACGTCAGCATCCACATCTCCAATGACAAAACAAACTCCAGACCCCGGCACTCAAACATGCAGTTGTGTTCAGTAGCAAGTGCTGTGCTGAGCACGTTCTGCGCGTACCAGATCACATGACTATCACATGTGAATAGAACTAAGATGGCCCCGGAATGTGCCTGCCTTCAGAGACGCGCACAGTCATTCATGTTCAGGCGTGCTCGCGGCGTGCTGGGATGGGCAGGCACACGCTCCAGAGATTCAGATCCCACCCTCCGCCCTTCTCAGCAGGCAAAGAGCAAGCGGTCACTTTTCTCAGGATGGTTGTCGAATCTCTTTCGTTAGCTTGCAGGTGACGATTTCGAAAGCCTTCGAGGCCTTCAAGCGCATCACACTATCCTCGGGGTGGGCGGGCGGGAAAAATCAGAATGATCCTGGGCAGCCTGAGCCGTTAGGCTGCCTGTCAATGAACAATCTGATGCCCTCCCTCCACCCTACAATCTTTCGCGTGAGTGCCTCTGCTCGTTTCACTCGCTCAAGGCACACGCTCCAGAGATTCAGATCCCACCCTCCGCCCTTCTCAGCAGGCAAAGAGCAAGCGGTCACTTTTCTCAGGATGGTTGTCGAATCTCTTTCGTTAGCTTGCAGGTGACGATTTCGAAAGCCTTCGAGGCCTTCAAGCGCATCACACTATCCTCATTGACAACGTCGCGCTTTGCTCTGATCATCTTGCACTTGTGACATTTTCTCCAGGCTATGTTTGGCATGCTCGCAAAGGCCGCCTCGCCAGAGCCATCAGCGAAAGGCCATCCGCATGTAGTTTTCCAGCTAGAGAAAGGCTTGTCCCAATCCGCGCACGCTACGGAATGTAGAACACGATTTTCTCTCGCAGCTCTGGTTGAGTAAACCCACAGCGTGTCAGTCTTCGGCTTCGACACCAGCGGGTTCACATTCTCGAACATCTCGTGCTCCACGGGGGGCTCGTCAAACTGCCAAACTTCTCGACGCCTCGGACGATTGCCGCCGGGAGTTCCAGGAGTCGACGGGCAAGGCCGCGGTGTGGTTGGGATCGTCGTGCGGCTTCCTGGCGTTCCCGGTGCTTTGGAGATTTGCTCCAGGCACTTGCTGGATGTTCTTGCGTTAATCGGCATCTCCTCCAACGCCTCTTCCGCGTACTGCAGAACGATGTCCGACTTCCACCGGCCTAGAAACGCAAGGTCCTGCAAAGGCATGCCCGTTCGCACGTACATCATGGCTCCGCTTCGTCTGCCTGAGTGGCCCGACACTGAGCTTCCGAAAATGTCTTTCCAGCACGCGACCAACTCCGACGGCTTGGCCTTCGCACCATTCCATTTTTGGAAGACGAAGTCCTCCGGGCCAAAGCACGACGATCGCGCATCCAGCTCTGACCAGACTTTCCAAGCGCAGCTCCATGTACATTTGCGTTTCCCGCAGCATCTTAGGGTTCGTCTGACGCCCCACGCTCTCTGATCCATCTTTGACCTCGGGATGAAGAGTGTAATCGTTCTCTCCGACCTGTTTACTGTCACGTGGCACTTCTTCACGCTGACTGTCTCAGCACATCGAAGCATCCAGATGGTTGACCACGCGAATCCCAAGGCAGCATTGGTAACCTTGAGATGTGGTTGAGGTTTGGTCCAAAGGCCTTCTGATCGTTCGGATATCTTTACCTCTACGGCTCTCTTTGGCGGTCCCATGTTCCTGGTCAATGACTTCTTGATCAGCTTGAACATTCGCGACATCCATTCAGGTACATCAAACCCTTGCTCCACGTGCCATAATCGGAGATCATTGATGAGCCCGGGTCCCGATTTGAGCTTGGCCTCTTTGATCGCCGCTGCCACGTTGATGATCATGTCTGAGCTTAGCGGGGGGGCCCACCATTCATCCAGGGAAATAGTCCCTACCACAACCGGAACCCCGATACCACAACCAGAAGCCCTATACTGCAACCAGAAAGTGGACCCTACTACAACTCAGCAGCTATATACAAAAAAATGGTCCCTACTACAACTGGAATGTTCTTCTTTGGTTAGTATAGGTTTGTGTGGACAGTATCCCGTTGTTAAGGGGTCTGTTGGAGCCTTGTGTAGCATTGTCGAATGTTTAGCAGGGTGTACAGGTCGAAGGGTTTTTTAGACCTCTAGGTTCAAGGTCTTGGGGTCGTGGGGTTGGGTTGCCCGTATGCCTTTAGGCTTGTTGTTCCTCACTGCTCCTAAACCCTTCGGATTTCAGGGCTTCAGGGCACCCTTTCTGACGTAGGACCTGTGTGGGGTTCGTGTGGTTACCCCCAGTGTTCCCGATAAGACTCAGAGACCGATGACGACCCCCACAAACACCAGCACCACTACCAAACACCAGCAACACCACCAACACCACCAACTCTACTGTTTTGGAGTCAAACCTTCAATAGCATAGAGGCCCGTCTTTAGCGTTAGGTCTTACTTGTTCATTATGAATATTCAGTAGATCGTAGCATCTGGACGAAGAACGGTACCTACTGCAACTGCATCTTTTCCAAAAATGAATGTGTTTCCTTAAAGGTTGACCATCAGATTGGAAACCATTTAAAATATGGCAAAATCTAAGCTTGTTAGCTGGTTGTGATCTGGTGGTTTCGGGTTTTGCCCAAATCCAGGCCCAGTTGCGGTACAGGGCTTTTGGTTGTGGTATCGGGGTTCCGGTTGTTGTAGGGACTAGTCGCCCATTCACCCCCAATCGTTCTTGCCAATTCCACCACGAACTTGCGTTTGGAGTCTCGAGCTTCCTTGGTGGAGTCCGCCCAGAAGTCCTTTTTCAAAGACTCCACAGCAGCTTTTAGATGCACTCGACTCCTCGCGACTCTCAAAGCTGACTCGTAAGTAGCTCGATCCGGGACTGGTCGATCGTCTTGTTCTTCCAAACACAACTCCGTCTGGAAGTCCTCCGCGAAGGCACCCTGTGGCCGCATCTCCTTCCTCTCAAGAGCATCGCCTCGCCGAAGGAATCCGGTCAGGTCTTTGGATTTCCATGACAATGTCGAGGAGCAGCTGAATCTCCCTGCACCTAGAGTCTTCGTGACCTTTTGTTGCAAGCTCACGAGGTTTCTCAAGCGCCGTCTCGCCGAAGACCTTCCGTCCACAGCTTTTTGTTCACATCCATTTCCCAAATCACTGGTCTTGCTCTTTGGATCATCCTCTGCACGATGGGGTCCATGCGAAGTCGATTGATATTCTCGTGGACGGGCCCCGCATCCGCTGCCTGTAGTCTGCTGCTGCCGCTTGCTGGAGCCAGAGTCATGCCAGAGCTGCTCGATCGCCGCCTTGGCGTTTCCGAAAGCCTGCCCCGGATGCCTGATGAAGGAAGCGATGTCTCCGTTGTGGATGGGCGTGGAGACCTTCTCTTCTTTGTCCCAGCAAGCTTCGGCGACGGTGTTGAATCGAAGCATGCTTCCGATCTCCACGGTTTTGAGCTCCTCTCCAGCTGGGGGATAGGCAGAGTTGCAGACAGACCCGAAGCCGTTGAGGAGAACGTTTGCTCCAAGCGATGCCGCCGAAATCTGCATGGGCATAGCGGCGGATCCCGATGTCCTCCTAGGCCCGCCCATCTGCCCGCACACTGGCCTGCCGCGCGCAAGATCAAAGCTAACAGCGTTAGACATGGCCACAACACGCAGCAAGGTGCTCGCTGGATGAGGCCCCATGCGCTTGTGGCGGGGGTTGCGCTTTGCCACACTACGAGCTCCATGTTGATCTGCGGAGGCGAACATGCCCTGTGACTGAAGCGTGAGCCCGAACAGACCTGAACACACTCTAACACGACATGAGGCTTACCATGCATATGCAAGATGAATCTCCACTGCCCTGCGCGGGCTGCGGTCATCTCACCTTTCTTTTCAAAGACACTCGAAGACCTGATGAAGCTGGTCCGATGACCCGCCCCACATTTCGGGGTGGGTTCCTGGCAAAGGAAAAGGTGAGATGTCCGAGAAGTTGACTGCCTCGCGCTTCCGAATTTTGACCCCCTTCAACTTGACCGGCAAGGGCTCATCTGATTGCTTTGTTGGGCGAGAAAGCCAATCGGCTTCCGCGTTCAAGACCCCTGCCACATGGTGACCCACGATCTTCGATATGTTGGTCATCTCGCAGAAGAAGGCCAAGTAAGCGCCGATGCAGTTCAGAATCGGGGACCCCGAAGAGAGCTTGCGAGCCGTTGCTAGCGCGACAACCGAATCCGATTTTAAGAGAAGAGATCCTCCTCGAAGTTTGTCGGCCCACACGTTGATGGCAATCGCCACCGCGGTAGCCTCCAAGGGTCCTTGAGAACTCGATTGTCCCCACTGCAAGCCTAGCTCCTTTGCATCTTTTTCGGTGACCTTCACTTGCAAGGCAGCCACGGGTTCCACGGATTGTGTGACGGGCTCGATGTGAGCGAGCACTGCTCCCAGTCCCTCGGGACTGGCGTCGGTAACGATCATGAACTCCGGAGGGTCCTCCTTCAGATCTTCATTCCGGGAGAGCCATTGGGACGCCGACTGAAACATCGACTCAAGCCACGATCTTGCGAGCTCGAACCGCTTCACGGGCACGAGTCCGAGCTTGGGCCTATTGTCAGTTCTACGACTAGCTCTCTATCTGCTTCCGTGCCCTTGGCCTCGGCAGCCTCCACGTCGGCCACCACAGCATACAGGATGGAAACCGCCCAGCGTAATCGCGGAACTATGCCCGCCACCCAGGACAATCTGCCCGTGGTAGCCCTAAGCTCTCTCAACGAAATCATGCCTTTGCCCTTCCATTCCTGAATCTTCTCCAGAATCTCTGCTGCCACTTTCTTCGGGATGGACAAGGTGAAGGTGGCCTCACTCACGTTCAGCTCCATGGCGATTCCGATCCATTTGACCCTGAGGCCGCGTTCCCCTTTGTGGAATGCCAAATTGATGCCCATGGCCATGGCCGTGTACAGGAGCATTGCGATGATGCCCCTGCGCCTGTTAAGTGGGCCCAGTATCGCGAATAGTGGGTCGTCCATGTACAGCTGAAGCGCCCCGTCTCTCATGATCATCGACTGCCACAATCTCGCCAAAGCGGCAGACAATCTGCCCATGATCAGCGGCGCCGCCTTGAACCCGAACAACATGGCACAGAAGATAATTATCTCTTCCTCCTCCAACCCGGGTGCCAAACAGTTGCTCAGCTCTTTGCGCGCAACCGGGAAGTGACAGTAAGCGTCCGACAAGTCGGCCCCCACGATCTCGATGCCCGGGTCCTCTGAGCCATCCGGTTCCTCGCCGATGTTGTCCAGCGGGTCGACCGCCGTGGCCCTTTCTCCCTTCAGCTGCCACAACTTCTTCATCATGGCGATCACATCCGAGCCACGAGGGAGAATGATGCGCTCAGGAACCCGCGCTCGCTTGTTCCCGCCGCTTCTAAGCAAGTCAATTATTATTCTCCTCTTCACCACGTTCTCGCCCTTCTGCTTGGTGATCAAAGCCAGCTTCGAGATGGTGCCCCGATCGAAACGTCTGGTCGCCTGCTTCTTGCTCATCCTCTTGCAGAAGCCCTTATCCAAGTATCTTCCTAGTTCCGCACTGGCACCCTCGGGGTCCTCGAACATGCTGGTGTAGTTCTTGATTTTTGCCTGCCACTCTAGCGTCGGCATCTCCGGCGTCTCGTTAGACGCCGTCTCGACCTCTGGGAACACCCCTGCGCTGGACGGGATCTCCTTTCCCATACCCAACGGGGCTCCATCATTAGCCCATTCCGCGATGTGCTTTTCCGGGTCAGCCGAAGCTCTCTGCCACGCCCGCCACATCGCCGGGTCCAATGGGGACGTGAACTCGATGTTCTCCTTGAGGTTGAGTCCGGGCTCCTCCTTCACCTTGAGAAGCAGCTTCAGTTCGTCCTTCCAGGCCTCCGCAATCTTTAAGTCTGGTTGACAGTCTTTGGAACCGTATGTTTTCGCCACCTCCAAGGCCTCCGGGTGTTCTTGCGCAAACCTCCTCCACAGTCTCGCGATGTCTCGGCCCACTTCGGCCACCTTCCCCAGCCTGGACATGCTAGCATGTGGGTTCCTCATGCCGCCAACGGCTTGAACGTTCTCAAGCTCCCTTCTGGCCTTCTTGGATACCCGCTTATCCGGGTCGATGTCGACTGTGGCCGCTCTGGCCGACCAGACTCTCTTCGATCTTCCGGTTTGCGAGGCAGCCGTTTGCTGATGCGACAGCTGCTTCTCCTTTGACTCCAGCCACTTAACCTGAAGTTGTGAGACCATCTCCTTCTTGCAGCGCAACTCGCTTCGCCACCATTCCAACTGAAGCGTCTTCTTAAACGCCTTGACGAGTAAAGCGGCATACTTGATGCACAGGTCCTTGGGATACTCGGCCGATTCACTGGTGCGGACTCGCCCTACCAGCTTCTCGTGTCTGAAGCCCGGCGGGCAAGTACAGCTGGCCGACAGCGTCTCGATGTCCTCCAGCCTTCCTGCCCATGTGCTCGGCTTCCACCATCGATTCCTGAGACCCATCTGGTAAGCGCAAGTGTTGAAGGAAACCCTGATGGCGTTGACCTCCTTCTCGAAGGCCATGACCTCGGGCAATAGCCACATGGAGCCGTCCGGTCCATCCTGCGAGCCAGGCGGGTTTTCGAGGGTGCCGGCTTCCGGCACTTTCCTTCGCTTTTGCGAGTCCAGCACTTCCTTAAGCGGGCGGCCAAAATGGTACCCAGATCAGCTTCCCTTTGTTGGGCAACGTTGTTGCTGTCCAAACCGTAGATTTGCAACCTGCCTCTCACGGGCGGTGGCCCCGTGCCCTTCTCGTTCCATCTCACCCGGCTGAAAGTCCCGCACGGAGGGCCCGCATGTCCGGCATCAACGTTGCCGTCCGTCGCCGCTTGCATCAGCTCCCCAAACGGCTCCGCCTTGCTGAGGTCGCATCGCTCTGTGCCCTTGATGTCCACGGACCTCACGTCCACATTCAAACCCTCGGCTTTGGCGGCCGCCTTCACGGTCTCCCCGAGGATGTCCCTCTCGCCCGAAAACAAGTGCACGAACACAAAGCGTCTCCTTGATCTAAATTCCCCGAAGTTGTTGGCACCCCTCAGCGCATCCCGAACACGTCCGGCGACAGGTGGATCATCCGCCGCTTTGGTATCCTCGCTCGGGTCTGCATCGGCACTTGCCGGGGCGACCGACATTCTTCGAGCCCTAAGCAATCACCGGCAACACAAACGCAAGATGACACCGCCTCCAGCGGAAGCTGCAACGGCACTTGCTAACATGTTGCGCTGCCGAATCCCCGCCGCGGTGGGTCCTTAGCAGTCTGCGTTCCTATGTGCAGGTGACAGGCAAAACTGGCACTTGTGGGCTCTCTTCACAGGGCACTTGCACTCACCTCCCACTGGCACTTCAGCACACGGCCCCTTTCCGGAGCCCCAGCTATAGCACAAAGCCGAACCCGCCTGGTCCTTCGATTTGCCCTTCCCGGAGCCTTTGGAGTCGCCCTTCTGGTCGTGCGGCAAGGCCTTGCGAGAAGAGCCAGCACGAAGACGAGCAAGCTCCCCGCGTTCATCTTGGATCCGCTTCTTCTTGGCCGCTCGCCTGTCTCTATTGATCTGCTTGCGTCTTTCACCGATTTCGGGCGGCCTAAGGGAATCAGCTCCGTCGGCAAGTCCTGGAATGTGTGTTCCAGCGATCATCTCCGCCGTTGCCATGGGCACTCCGCGTCCTCCAGCCGCCGTCCATGCAACAGCCGGGTGCCTCACTTGCTCCGACCAGAACTTTTCGTCGGCTACTAGTTCACGAAAGCAGCACGTCCACGGGCTGGCTCGGTTCCAATCATCAGGCGTGTCCTTGCCCGCCATGTCCTGTGCCAGGATTCGCCTCCGTATCTTTTCTAATCTCTCGGCCCTGGCCTTGTCCTCCGCCTGACAGATCAAGCCCCACGAGTTGGGCCACTGAACCACTAGCCTTTCGACAAGCTTCTCATAGCTCAGCAGGTTTGCCAAGGACACCACGTTCAGCATCAACGCGGCAACCTTGAAAACTCTCCAAGAAGCGAGCCATTGTTGGTAATTCTGCGGCCCCGGCATCTCCTTCAGCATGTAGCTTCCGTCGCCCAATGGGTGATGTACTCGAAATTTCTGTGCTTTAAGAGCTCTCCTGCCGAATGGTAGCCAAACGCCGAAATCTACATAAGGAGCTTGATCCAAAGTTTCCACTCGTTTGTGCAGAGCAGCTAGCTGAGACTCGGTAGGTTCTTCTGCTTCTGGCGGTGCACCCATGGTCAAAATGTATCTTTGCATCCACTGTTGTACCATCTCAGGTTTCGGAGGCAGCAGTTCCGAGTCATCGGTTTGATCAAGCAGGCTTGACATCTTCAACACACTTTCCTTCACACTCGGCACAGAAGAGCTGGGCCTTGCTGCTATCGCCGGCCTCTGCTCCCACGGGTCAATGTCTACAAAGCCGTCCTCTGCACCTCCGTCCTTGAGGTAAATACATTTTCTGCACGAGCGCCATACCAATCCCAACTGAGCAGCCTGAACAACGGTAACTCCCTGGCCTGCAGAAGTCTGTGTAGCTCCTATGGCTTGGGTGACAGCCCACTGGTTCAAAGCTGCCACGTGTCGGATCTCATCTCCCGGGTCCCCCATCACATTCGTGAGAGAAGACCAAAGCGCCGGATCAATTCGCAAAGCCGCCAGCACCTCCCTGAGGTTAGTCCACGCTCTTGCCGTGGCCGCCGACGGCAATGCCATGATTGGCTGCTCGCGCTCGGGAGGAAAAATCAGAATGATCCTGGGCAGCCTGAGCCGTTAGGCTGCCTGTCAATGAACAGTCTGATGCCCTCCCGGTTGCAAAAATTAACGCTCACCAAAACAACCGAAACAGGCACCAAGCGAGCAGAACACGCACCTAGCCGACGGGGGCTGCACCAAAACAAATGCAAGTGCGCCAACTTTTTTTGCTCGCTCGGCCCGGAGAGCATTGCATGTCCGGCGGTCCTTGCCATGAACGATTCCACTCGCGAACAGAGGTGTCAAGTATCTCTGGAATCTACACTGCCGACGTTCTCGACCGACTGTGCTTTATCGACCAAAGGCTACGAACCTTGGACCGGATGTGGATACAGGAGCAAACACAAACGTCAATGAATTTGTCCTCCGGAACTTCCATTCCCGGTCACCTCGGAAGAGCACGCGCAACAAGGATCTGATCTGACCGGCACTGACCTGACCTGAGCTGACCTAAGCTGACCTGAGCAGACCTGACCTGACCTGACTTGCTGTGACCTGGACTGTCTGATCTGAGCCGCGGTTTTTTGAATCTGATACGATCTCACCTGACCTGATCTGATCTGACCTGATTTGCCTGGCTTGACCTCACCTGACCTCACCTCACCTAAACCCTGATTCCTGAAACCTCAACCCTGACACTACTTGTAGCAGGAGTACATTGAAATTCTTTAGATGTTCTGAGTCTGATAACCCCCCTTCATCAACTGTAAATGCAAGTCCATCGTCCTGAAGATTGCGAAACCATTGAAGACGCAGATTTCTTGTCACCTACAAGAGATGGGCTGCAGCCCAAGGTCACCAAGTCCTGCGACGCAATCACGCATTCATGAGCCGCCAGAGACTGTCAAAAGCGCGATCGCGGGCCTCCAAGCCACGTTTCACCACTTCGCCAATGGCGAAACGGTGCTGCAACGTGGCGCCCGGTACCTGGATGTGCGTCTTGCAGTTTTGGAAGTTGCAAGCGTCAAGCTTTCGCTACATTCGTGCTTTCGGATCAGAAAGCCCAGCGGCGCAGAGACTCTGGCGCTTCGATCCGGCCCAGCTGCGCAGCGCGCGCATGTCCAGCCAGCTTCGTGCTCACAGGACATGTTTAGTGGCAAGCAAAGCCTAAACCCGAAAAGGTGGTGGAGCACAAGTGTCAAGGTCAAGATCTGGAATATGCAAGGACATGTCGACGCGGTGGCTTTCAGAAGAAACAAACCTGGAAGCCATGCCTCAGGATGCAAGAGCGCATTGCGTCACCGCCATTGTCGAAGCTCCTGCCAAGACCATGCAAAGCAAGTAGCTTCAAAACGTTTCAGCGAATGTGCAGCATGGGTAGGTGGTGGTAACGTCTGCGTCTCCTTGGCCGACGGCTCGTCTGCAGCTGAGGACATGGCTGGACATCGGCTAGGACTTCATGTTTCTGCTGCTGTACCAAGCTAAGAAACAGTTGCTGGGGGTTTCCATCCGAACACTTATCGACCTGCAATGGCTTCTAGAGGAGCCTGGTCTGCTTCGTGAATGACCAAGACTTGCCTAGGCGGCACTACGGACACTAGCGGTGAGTCTTGGTACACCACGACACCATCCTGAGAAAGAGCTGAGTTGTCAAGGATTCGACCGTTGTGTCGCTGTGCAGCTGCGAGTATTCCGCTTGTTCTTGCCAAGTCTGTGGTTTGGAAGCTTGGTGACTGCAGCAACTTCTTGGTGAGAGTTGGGGTCGTTTTGGTGCGCTGGTCATGGGTCTTGGTGCGGGTTTGAAGGTTTGGTTGTGGTTTCGGGCTGCAATCATGCCCTCCCTCCACCCTACAATCTTTCGCGTGAGTGCCTCTGCTCGTTTCACTCGCTCAATCCCTTCTCGCCACAGTCCCGTTCGTTTCAGCCTCCCGAAATTGCGCTCCAGCCACAGTGTCGTGCAGAAAGCTCGGGCTACCGCCACAGTGCGGTTGTTCTGGGGCACAGAACGATACGCATGGTGAGGGGTGCTTCCGGGTCCTGCATGGTTGTTTGGTACTTCAGGCTTGGAATAACCTGTGCTCTTTACCCGCCGACTAGGCTAACTGGGCAACCGTGCTAGCAAGGGAGCTAATACATTTCTCGAAGAGCGAGCATGGCATGAACAGATTGAAATTCACTGTCGCCTGACTCGTTCAGTTTGTCTCGTTCTTACTTGATCTGCACGTGCACAGGGCACGTGTTGGAAACCTCTCGAGTTATGATTAGCCAGTTAGTTTCTCTCTCTCTGCCGTGCCATCATCAAGAGTCTCGCAATGCAAGAGCACGAAGTCGCAGGCTAGAATATCAGGAGGCGTAGCGCGAACGCTTAACCTCCGTCACTCTTCGAGCCCACTGAACTGGACAAGAACTTACCTCTACCACAACTTGTTGGGCCGCGAGGCCTTCAACAAAGCAAGGACATGCAGCTTTGCAAACAGACTGAAGACTTCCTAAAACCAAGAATCTGACTGCAGAGCTAGTTGGTTTGGGAGATTCCAGGGAGATGGGCGCAGATCAATCTCAATGACAGCCCAGATCGAGGAAGCAGCGCATCCGGGACAGCAGCCGTCAGGTTTAGGAAAAAAGCTCATGCAGCTATGAAAATTACATGTCTCTAGCTTGGATGAAGATTTGTCACTGATGCAGACGGCTCCTGAATCACCGTTGTGCACTTTCCCCGGGATGGAGCAGAACGTGTCCCAAATGCTCGGACTTCGTCCCTCCTTGTCTGCCTGCAGTACACAAACTCAGACTGCCAACCGAGTACCAAGTAGCCCCGTCGCTAGTTAAGTGTGCCTGGGGCTCTCGTAGACTGATAGGCTTTAGCTTGACACGTGCTCTTAGTCACCTGACAAACACGACCACTTCTTCATGTGCGAGTGCATAACAATGGAAGCTCCACTTTTTGAGCAAAGTAAACCATAACCAAGGCATCGAGTCTCGCCCCATGCTCCAAGAAGCATTACGCTTCACTGAACAGAACATGTCTGAAGTTGGCGGCCGAGGCACTGCACCCTCAATTTGATACGCAGCTGTCGCAGCACCCCAGAGAAAGTCCGCCGGGAATGGCAACATTTTGTCATCATTGACCTAGAGAGCATTTGATTCATTTTCTAGGGTCTTTCGGTCCTGCCTAGCCCACATGGAACCCCCTTGGGTCAGCTCAGCGGCGTTCAGAAGCGTCACCTGGCGCTTAGCACAACGCGCGAGTGCTGGAGCGGAGCGCTGCAGGAGCTCATGAGATGCAGCCAGCGTGCGTGGCTATGTACAATCTCCTTGTTGAAGAGAGTCGTCAGGACACCTCAGCGCTGCGCTGCAGTGGCAAAAACAGGCTCCCTGCAGCGCTTGCATCTGTACTTTCCAGCCGCTTGCGGGCTGTCCCGGTTTACAGGATTTCAATCCGGCTTTCAGTGCCGCCA